TTCTGCGATAATGACAGCTGATTGCATAGCTTCTCGGTGAAGTAAATGCTGCTCCATCTGAAAGCACGTGAAAATACCACATTTAATAACATTTTTACTCCAAACTCACTTCATAACATCAGTTGAGTGTTGAAATAAATCCTTCTGTGAGATGTGGCTTCTTACACAGAATAAGGCACGCAACATATTTCATAGTATTTAAGCAGTGATAAAGGTTATGTCGATTAGCATTGCATTATTATATGTGACCCTGCAGCACAAAAGCAGTGTTGAGTCGCTGGGGGATATTTGTAGCAATAGCCAACAATACATTGTATGGGTCACAATTATACATTTCTCTTTTATGCCAAAAATCATTAGGATATTAAGTAAAGATCATGTTCCACGTGTGCACGTGCCTGGATGATAGCGCAAAAGACCATTTCACAAAAATAAATATACAAGCAAACAAACAAATAAATAAACCTTATGACTGAGCATGACCCGGGGCTCTACTAAAACGGTTCACACTTCAACCTACTACACAGAGTACGCTGTAGTTCACCGACAAGCTACGCAAAAAAATGTTTTTTTTAATTTTATACATATATATATATATATATATATATATAAATAAAATCACGCAGTTATGAAATCGTTCTGCGATAATGACAGCTGATTGCATAGCTTCTCGGTGAACTACGGCTCTGTGAAGTAAATGCTGCTCCATCTGAAAGCACGTGAAAATACCACATTTAATAACATTTTTACTCCAAACTCACTTCATAACATCAGTTGAGTGTTGAAATAAATCCTTCTGTGAGATGTGGCTTCTTACACAGAATAAGGCACGCAACATATTTCATAGTATTTAAGCAGTGATAAAGGTTATGTCGATTAGCATTGCATTATTATATGTGACCCTGCAGCACAAAAGCAGTGTTGAGTCGCTGGGGGATATTTGTAGCAATAGCCAACAATACATTGTATGGGTCACAATTATACATTTCTCTTTTATGCCAAAAATCATTAGGATATTAAGTAAAGATCATGTTCCGTGAAGATATTTAGTAAGTTTCTTACCATAAATATATCAAAACTTAATGTTTGATTAGTAATATGCATTGCTAAGAACTTCATTTGAACAACTTTAAAGATGATTTTCTCAATATTTAGATTTTTTTGCACCCTCAGATTCCAGATTTTCAAATATTGTCCTATCCTAACAAACCATGCATCAATGGAAAGCTTTTTAAAAAATTGACACGTAAGACTGCTTTTGTGGTCCAGGCTCACATATTATAATGAAAATTCTAATAATAAGAACTCCGATAAATCATATATTGTCGTAGTCCTGTGTTTATTAGTCGCGCTGAATCACTGAAAGCAGTTAAATCTTGTTTATTCAGCTAACGCTATAGGGATTTCTTCTGGAGATTTACTACTGATCACAGAACCGTGCTTCACTGACAAGATGTGATTGTGATTTCAATGCGATTTATCGTACAGCACTAGGTTCTAAACTTGTTGCGTCTCTCTCAGGTGTGTCAGAAGTCTGGAGAGATCTCACTGCTGAAGCAGCAGCTGAAGGACCTGCAGGCCGATCTAGCGCAGCGCGTCGGTGAGCTGGTGACGTTACGAGGACAGCTGCGAGAGGTTCGAGCCGAGCTGCAGACGTGTCAGAGTCAGCTGCAGGAGGTGCACACGGCCTCACACACACGGACGCTGGAGCTTGAGGTCTGCGAGAACGAACTGCAGCGCCGCAAGAGCGAGAACGAGCTGCTCCGGGACAAAATAAGCCGTCTGGAAGACCTTAGCGCCTCGCGTGCCGACGACAGCGAGGAACTGAAAGCCTCAAAGCAGCAGATCGATCGCCTGAAGGCGGAGCTCGCTTACGAACGCCAGCACTCCTCCGATCAGACGTCTGTGTTCAAGAGCGAGAGAAAGAGCTGGGAGGAGGAGAAGGATAAAGTGATTCGATATCAGACACAGCTGCAGCAGAACTACGTGCAGATGTACAAAAGGAACCGAGATCTGGAGCGATCGCTCCGTCAGCTCAGCCTCGAGCTGGAGTCCCGAGAACAGGACGACGACAGCAGCGGAAACGAAGTCACGTTCGACGACATTGCTGCGACCGAGATCTGAAACAAGTAATCGTCTACTGCCGCACTCTTTTCAGATTGTGCTCTGCGTAAAATGCAACTAAGTTCTGTTCTCAAATAGTGCCGTCAAACAATTAATCGCATCCAAAATAACTTTGTGTATGAAATGTGCGTGTGCTGTGAATATTTATATAAATAAACACACATGCAGTATATATTTTAAAAATATTTACATGTATATATTTATATTCATTTAATTTCTATTATATATAAATATATTTAATATATAAAAATTTTTCTTAAATGTGACCCTGGAGCACAAAACCAGTCATAAGGGTCAATGTATCCATCTCAATCGAGCACACATGTTTTTTTTTAATGCACATTTTAATATTTTGTGCATCTTGGCTTTTCCATCCATCAGTTTTTTATGCGATATCCCAAAATTGTCTGCACATCAGCATCGAGTCTCACATAAACAAAGGAGTCCAGAAGCACAGCTGTCCTGCGATCACATCGTGTCAGAATTACTGTAATTGAGCGTCTGATTAGTAAACGCTGCTCATGTCTTTGCTGAACGCATAATTACAAAGTTAGAAACTCAAGCTGCTCATGTAAAAAAATAAAATGATTCTGTTCTTCAATAGTGCATTTATGAAGTATTCTGCTCTCATCAACCGCAACAAAGCTGCATCCGTATTGGTGTTCAATAATAATCCATAACTCGAATCCTTTCAGAGTGGGAGGACATGAGCAGCAGTAATTCTGACAGGAGCTGAACACGGCACTATTAAACACTAATGTGAGGAATAGAAACTCTTCTTTCAAAAAAGCTATTGACTGTTATATTAGTAGCAAAATAAACCCATTACTGCACACATACGCTCACATAATACTGAACAATATAGATAGACGCGTACATATAAAAGCCACTGTGACTAGACCAAAGCGTTGCTTGTATCTCGTGGGTGATTGTGGTGGTGGTGTCATTTTTTAATTAACAGTATTTGTATGAAGCCAATACATTGTATATTATTCGTGCTGCATATTTAATGTTCCTATGAGCCGTTTGTAATTAAACACCTGCAATGACTCGCATTCACTGGTATTTTATTCAGTATTTATGTTCTTAATCGGCCGCAGCAAATATTTCTGACTACTGATCTTTGTAATAACTCCGTGTCACCAGAGCAATTAAACCAGGATTTATTCTAATTAACAAACACAACTTTCACTAATGTTTTTTTTTAAGTTAGATAATTGTTAGGACAAACCGTTCTTAAAGTAATGTTTATGGAATGTTTTTAGAACTTTAATATGTTTGATATATTCTCATAACGTTAAGAAAACATTGAGATTATTCTCAATGTTCTTGTTCTAAGAAACGTTTTTGTAACGCTCTTAGAATATTAAAAATAAACGTTCAAATGTTGTTTTGGGGTAAAAAACTCATTAGTAGAATGTTTTGAGAAACATTTTTGTAACACTTAGATAACACTCTTAATATAGAGAATAAACTTTCAAATGATGATACATTTTGGGTAAAAATTTAGGTTGTAAGAAACATTTGTATAACCTTTAAATAATGTCATAAACTGGACATTTTAATGTTCTTAGAAAGTTAAAAATATATGTTTAAATGTCATATTTCGGCAAAAATAAAGTTAGTAGAATGTTGAAGAACATCCAAGTGAAACAGCTTAGATGTGCTACCAGTTGACTCAATTTTCAGATATTACTGGAAGATCCAGTTAAGACATTTTTATTAAACTAGGCCCGTGTACTGAACGCACGTGTACCGAACAAATTCAATATTTTTCAGGAAATTCAGAAAATAAATGCCGCTTTGGCGCGACAGATCTCTGTATAAACACTTCAGTTCTAACAGCATCCCTTCTTCTTTACTAGTAGCTTTAATGCGAAATAAACATGAATGAACATCTCACGCCTCACGTAACTGCTCAGTGTTTCGCTCGCGGAAGGAGATTAAAACGGCTTGTAAATAAAGCGTCACGTAGCATTTCATCTACCTCAGGCAAGTCATCAGTTGCTAGAGAAATCAAGTCTAGAGAAGAGCATTTCGCTAAATATTAGACTAGGCTATATACTCAGATTTTGCTTTATCTGTTAGTGGTGTCTTAATCTTGTAGTGTATATTTAAATAAATCTTTTATGAAGCAAGTTATGATAGAAAATGATTATATTTCAACAACAACAAATAGAAATTGTAGACTATAATTTAGAAGTTAATTTAAAAACTGCATTGAGTGCAATTTACACGTTTGCATACAATTTTATTTCGAGTGTTGATTAATTAGTTAAAAATAATAATTAAATTTAAGTTTGGGCTCTGTTGTTAATTGTAACCTTATAGTAATGTAAAAGGGCTCGCTATAGTTTGCTGAAGCGGATTTTTATTTTTCCTATATATTTTTTTTATTTTATTTTATGAGGTAGATTTGTAAAAATATTAAGAAACTGAGAAAACTGAGAAAAATACATTAAAATATTTTTAAATATAATCTTTATAAATAATTTTCTACATTTCCATTAATAAAAATATTTAGTTTCAATATGAATTTAGATTTTCACAACCTCTTTTACCATATAATTAAATCCTTTACGGCTGTTTTCTTTGCTGCTGTTGTGACTAAGACGTTAGTATGAATGACCTAAAATTTCATTATATATTAAACATTAAAAAAACTTAAGGTCATACTGAATCATAATGTTGCCTCTTCTGGAATCATAAAATGAATCATAGTTAATTTAATACATCAACACTCCCAGTTTCTGTTCATATAGATTGAAAACAAGCAGCTTTCTCAGAATTACAGCAGACACGGAGATCTTTGAATATTGTGTTGGACAATGAAGGTGTTCAAGTCAAAAAGGTTGAGAACCGCTGGTTTGAGACTTTTAGGAAACATCTTTACACGGAAAACAAGTAACAGAGTATTTTTGTTTGCTAAGAGCTTCATTTGAACAACTTTAAAGGCTATTTTCTCAATACTTTGATTTTTTGCACCCTCAGATTCCAGATTTTCCAAACATTATCCTGTCCTAACAAACCATACATCAATGGAAAGCTCATTTATTCAGCTTTCAGATGATGCATACATCTCAATTTCACAAGATTGACTCTTATGACTGCTTTTGTGCTCCAGGGTCACGTTTAGATGCATTGAAAAGAATGAAATGGCGGATACCCAGAGACTGCTTGGTCTTGCTGATGTGGACGGTGGTGAGCTCAAACTCTTCACGGGTGTGTTTCTCACATACAGACTCCACCGCCGGTGACACGGTTGAACTATGGGACTTCTTCAGGGAAGCGAAGACCTGTGAGAGCAGCGGCCTCTTGTGTCGAGGCGCGTCCACTACAGTGAACAGCACATCTGCTCTCCTCTCTGAATGCCCGTTCCTGCGGCTGAGAGCATCTTCCAGCGTTTGGCCGGAGTCTGGACGCGTGTTCTCCGTCAGCAGCCAGTTGGGAAGCAGCACAGACGTCCTGGAGGAGGTTAATGAGTCTGAATGACCGTAAGGAACGTCCAGTAACGGGCTGAAGGCTCTGGACTCGTTCTGGTCTTGACCGCAGGACAGACGCAGCTGCTCCAGATCTTCCAGAAGCTGATTCTGTCTCTCAAGATCCTCTGCGGCGTGAAGCTCAAATCCACCGTGCAGATCTGAGGCAGAGAGAGGCACACGCTTTCCATTTATCATTTGGAATAATGTGCGTTGATAAATAGCGCACAACAAAACCAGCAATGAGTCTGAACCGGTTTGTGATTGTGTAATCT